ACAATGAGAGGTCTACCCTTTCAGAATTGTTTACATATTTGGATATTAAATTTTGTTTTGACTTGAAAAGGCTGCTTTGTTATACGCATTATATTGTTGAAAGTGATGAGTCTGGAGCCCAGATGGATCTTAACTCCATTGTTTTGATTAGCTAAGACAATTTTTTGAAATATTTTGTGCCTTAGTCGTCAAGTTTTAAAGCTTTATTTTGAAAAGCCCTGAACAATAAGGTTTTTTATGATGAAACAGTCTTTTTTCATAGCATATCTCTAATTGGAGTTCTTATCAGTAACCAGTTTGCCTGATTTAAGCATTCAAAACGGTGCTTAAAGATGGTGGAATCGCTGATTTAATTTGGTTTATCGGATTTTAAATCTTTTTGCGTAGTACATATCAGTTTTTGGTTTTTTGTTAAGCCGCTAATTGAAATGCTTTAGCAAAGTTTTTATTACGATACTTGTGAAAGTTTACCCAGTTCTTTGGGGAAAGTTTTTGTTTATGCAAGTATTTTTTAAAACCTGTTTTAAATGTTTTTGAATCTGAAGAGCTATGCTGTTTAATAAGTGATTTTGCAGAAACGGTATTCCACTTAAATACTTGAAGTATTGCAGGAAGGGTTTAAGCGGCTTTCATAAACACCAACTTTTTTAAAATGTCCTTCGGACAACTTTTGTCTTTATTTTGGTATAGTTAGGCCAAAAGTTATTTCTCGCTTGTTTTTTAGCCTGATTCACCGCAGGGTGACGGTATGTCTGGTCAACAAATTGACAGTGTGCCCCAGCAACAGAATCCGCCAGCAAATGGTGAGAGTACTGTCAATGTTGGACGTGAAACTAATGCAGCTACGATAACAGTAGCCGAATCTGTTGTTAGATTTATCGCTAGCCAAGAATCGGCAGATTCATCGTCGCATGAAGTTCAACAAACGAGTGGTGTTGAAGATAATTATGGGGATCATGATGGTTCACCAAATATGGGTAACGTTACGGAAATTTCTTTAATAAGAGTTCTCCCTGAAGAAAGTTATTCGGGCGAAACTAACAGTATGTTAACGGCAGGAGCTGCATACACCGTTGGAGGTTCGACGCGAGATCTTACGGAGCAGTTTCTGGCTGCTGAACAAACTGCACAGGAGTTGGTTGCAAATGCAATGAATGACCTGTTTTGATATAAATCTTTGGTTTGCATAATACTAGTTTCTGTGCTGTTTTCGATAATGTTTAAAGCATATTTCTTGGTTGGATAGGTTTTATTGCAGAGGTTTATTTGCCACTGTTTTCGGAATACTTGAGTGTTGTTAATAGGGCAAATAAAGTGAAAATGAATGCATTGTTTTTGTTTTTTTTGCAATATTAAAAAAATTAGCTTTATTTTAGCGACTGAAAAATACTTTCTCTAATTCATCTGAGTGCCTCTTTGGTTTGAATTCAAATTAATTTCTGTTACTTATTTGTTTATGTACATATATACATACTTTTTCAGAGAGAAAATACATTTATTTAGTTTAGAGGTAGGAACAAATTGAGGAGAGGGAGGAAATTATGCTCAACCAAACGGTGGTCTTTCCTCAAGTGAATAAATTCTTTGGTAGTTCAAAATTTCCGGAAATTACCAGTTTGTAGGATATTTGAGAATTTTGGTTATACATTAGGGTACTCAGACAAAAACCGAGTTTTTCTTCAATGGTCATTTTCGAGTGTTCCAATGATTATGTTTTGTTTTGGTTGTTTTGGTTTCTTGTTTGGTGACTACTGAATTAATGGTCAAAATCTTTTGCAGCTTCTCCTGTGGATTTGTTTATTATATGCTGTTTCGCTGGATTTAATTGTAAATTTCTTTCTTTTGTTTCTTGGAGAGTTTGATGATTAAATCTCAGAATACCCTGAAATGTCATTAACGACTTTTTTTTATTTTAGCTGATGCACTGATATAGAATTGCTTATTGACTTTCACATTATACCGTTAGAGTAAACATTTTGAGACGTTTTTCTGACCACAGTATTGTCTTTGAGTCTTTTAAGGAGATTCCTTCTTATTGCATTGTTCTTGCGGTCGAAGATGATGGGTATTCACTTTTTTAAACAAAGAAAGAACTTTTCTTTGTATTAATTTATAGCGTACATGTGAAATGAAGAAACGTGTTTGGTGATAGTGGTTTTATGTAATATATTTCGGTTTTTCAGTTCCTTATTCTTTTTTTTTTTCATTCGTGATTACACGATGTCTTTAAACAGGAAAAAACGACCGTGTTAAATGAGGTCTTCTGTCAGTTTCATGAGACTAAAGTAGTTTGTATATTATTGTGTTGTATGGAAAATAAAATTGGCGAAATTTACCCTCCATCTGCAACTTCAATTTTTAGTTACATTAACCAGTTGCAAACTGTTAGAAAAAAAGGTTAAGAAGGCTTAGGCCATATATTTAAGTTATACTATCTGCCAGTATCTAAATGATGCAATTTTCTACTTAGTACGTCCATTTTTATTCAGCATAGGGCTAACTGCTGTGTGTAGATATATTCTCCGTGTGCTTATTCGCTTTTATTGATTTCCTGCTGAAGCTGGTGATGAATTAGAGGGCATAAAGAAGAGTTGGTAAAAGCAGCGGATACGGTGAGTTATTTTTTTTTTCAACAAATGTGTTTTTGAGCATAATCTGAAACTTCTTTACTGGTAAGTTCAGATTGTCTTTTATTTTTTTTCTGAAGTTTTTTTTTGTTTTGTAATTCTGTTGTTGAATTTTGAAGCATTTGTAAACGGTAGCAATATTTGGTGTGTTGAAATGGTTGATGGAGGTTAGAGTAAGTTGGCCGGTGGTCATAACACCTTTTTAAAATTCTGTGAGCTTAGATTGGTTCTGTAAACAGTTTAATTCTGATTTTATTGTATATCATTTGCACAACAAGCGGGTTAATTGTAAGATGGAATAAACTAAATTTGTTGTTATAAATTCTTGATTGTGGAATTCCAAATAAACCAGCTATTAATCTCATGTTTTATGAAGTTCAGAAGCACTTTTGAAGCAATTACTGCGAGGGGTGTGAAATTTGTGCAGATTTATGAACTAAGTAAAAAGAAGTTAGAATAGTTGTCTCTTTGCAACTGTTTTTAAAATTTCAAATATTTTTGTCTGTTTTAGCAAGATTTTAACGTGGAATGTTATTTTCAACTCCAAACTACAAATTAACGGATGATGATAAAAATTATGTTTACGACCCGGCAGAAGACTCTTTTCTTCTGTTGGATGCTTTAGAGAAAGACGTCCAGGTTTTTTTTTTGGACTTATGTTGTTGTTGGTGTTAACTTGAATTTTAAGTTTAGATACAAAAAAAAATGAATAAAACTGCCATTTATATTTGCACTACAATTATTGCTCTTTAGTTTATTTATCTTTAGCTTTTTTTTTTAGGAACTTAGAAGAGCATTACCGACTATTGCGGTCGAAATTGGAGTTGGCTCAGGGATAGTATCAACTTTTTTGCGACAAATTCTTGAAAAACCAATATGTTTGTTCGCTACTGATGTTAACTGGAAAGCTTTGCAGGCGAGTCTGTTTTTTATATGCTATACATTAAATTGAAAATTTAAATTCTTTTTGGATAAAATGTTTACTACTTTTTACACGTTTGGGGTGGTATCACTGGGCTGTAAGAATGTAACAGCTAATTGTTTCTTAATTTATGTGTCAGGCGAGAAATTATTTCTTTTAGTTATTAGTAGAGAAAAAACTTGATAGTTTCTAATTGTAAGCCATATCAACCAGCGGTTAAGACGGGTATTTTAATCTCGTTGGTCACTGGGAAGAATATTGTAATATAGGATGTTTTTTTCACAGAGTATTTGAATGGAGTTGTCAATATTTTGAAGGCATTGTTTGAAGTAGTTTTGTAAAGAATAAAACCAAATTTTTATGCGATGGCTTTTAACGAGAACCATGTAGTTGTTTGCCATCAAAATACTAATCTGCAAATAAAGCATGCAGAGCTATATGACAGATGGGAATAAATCGATATAAACGGTTGAGAGACAAGACGACGGTGTTGAGAGTGAGGTTGGTTGGGTAAAGTTGGCAAGAATCCTAGAAATTCTATGACTCTTCGGCTGCGGAATATCCTGCATTGTTAGATACAGTAAGTCAGTGAACTTTCTAGGAACGATAAATGACTGGAAAATTTTACATTTCTTGCATTTGAAATTGTTTCCTGCTTAGCAAAAGTATATAATTTCTTCCGCTTTTTAAAACAGTAGTGAGGAAAAATTGCAGAGTAATTAGCAGTTTTGAAAGTAACAGTTTTTCACTTCATTTAATCGTTCTTTAACTTCCCTTTTATCTTGACGCATTGGTATTATTATTGGTAATATGGAAGTTTTTATTTTTTTCTGCACTCTGACTAAAAAGTTCCTGCTTCATTGACTGATGGGAATGAATTATGAAAAGAGGCGGCTTATATGTTGAATAAGTGGGAAGCAAGTTATGGTAGTGAGTGGCGAGAAAACTTACAGTTTACTAGTGTTTGTTTCGTTTTCTTTTTTTACTTTAGTTCTATGAGGAAAGTTTTTGCTTACTGTTGGGCATTTATGATTGTTTTGCCAAGATCGCTTTGGCAGGTGACAAATGGGAAATAGTTGGAATTTGATTTCACTTGTTTGGATATTACTTTGACTGGAGATGGTCAAAAACAGTTTATCAATTTTTTAAAATTATTGTGTAATATCAAAGTATAAAATATAAAAGCATTGTCTTTTCTACTAAAAATCGATGAGTATATTGTGGAGTCATGTATCTTGAATTCTCTGCCTTTAATTGAGTATGGAGATTTGATCTACTGATAATTGTGAAAACTTGAAAATACATTCAGAGAATTTTTAAGCAGGTTTCAAATCTTTGTAGTTTTCAGTGTTCCAAGAAAACTGCATCACTGAATCGAGTGGACTTCGAATTAATTTTCTGCGATCTTTCATTGCCACTAAATTGTCGTCTTCAAAGTGCTGTTGACATTTTAGTCATTAATCCTCCCTATGTGAACACGGATGATCCAGCAACTTCGGATTTAGTAAGTTATGTTTACTCTCAATCTTTTTTATTTTGGTTGCTTTTTTTTTTCTGGAACAAATATGGATTAAACAGGAGATTTGTTCATAACCGGAATCGTTATCAAACATATTACGATAATTTTTATTACGCAGTAGGTAAATCTTGTTTGTTTTTGTGTTTAACTAGTTTGAGGGCTTCTCAAAGGGGCAGCTGATTGTTTCCTGATAGAAATACGCTTGAGACATTATAAGAAAATTTTAAAGACTTTAAAAATTTTTTTATGGATATTCCGGAGGTTAAGGCAGGTAAAGTGACTTTGTGCGAGAATCTACTTTAGATTTAAATAAAATATTTGTGATTCACAAGCGGTGAGAGACAAGTTGAAGGTTTTTTGAACGTGGGTTTCAGTTTTTAAAGTGGGCTTTAGCTGCTACCTTTCGACTAAAGTTGAAAAGTTTCTTTGGATCAAAAAGATAGTGATTCGCAGGTGCAGTAATGGTGACGTTTTTAAGGGATAATTGTTTGCTGATTAAAAGTGAGCTTTGCTTCCTTATTTTCTTAATGCATTGTTTTTTACTGTGAGTAACGTTTAGAAAATGTTTTTACTGCTCTGTGGGATGCTTTTGAAGATACGTGTTATTTTCTGCCTCCAAGTAATTGGCTCTGAATAGAACAGACAGGTCTGCTTTTTTGTGCAGCGATAAATCTACTTGGTGGCTTGACATCTGCACCTTAAATCTTCTTATTTCTTAGATTTTGCAGCAATTAATCAATTCGTTTTATAGCTTGTTGTCTGATTATGGCATTTGGATTCATTCTCTATTAGATTTATAGTATTTTAAGGAACAGAGTTGTGGATTTACTGGTAACGCTCTTCCTCTAAAATATTCTTTCATTAGATGGATTAGTGTACTAAATAGAAAGACGCCAAAAGATTTCAAGTTTAGAAGTCGTCTTTTATAGCCGTTAAGTTCTTTTTTGCGCAGGAGCAAGTCTTCGAATGCTCTTCCAGTAACTTTTTTATCTGCTTGTAAACGCTGTTTGAGTTCAGCAAATTTTGGTTTTAGAACCATGCTTACTTTGTGTACTTTTGCTGAGTGCGGCGCAGTTTAGGTCGTATCAGTACTTCTTTGAGGCAAACAAAACTTTTCGTTTAAGTTTGCTGATTTTCCATTTGTAATTTCTGGGATTTTCTAATATACGCAATTTAACATTTGATTTTGATTTTTACAGGCGCTTAGTTGGTGTGGTGGTCCAACAGGTCGTGATGCTTTGGATCGTTTAATGCCGTTGGTTCCTGGCCTTTTGTCGACGACAGGAGTCATGTACGTTGTAGCATCAAAGGCAAACAACATTTCACATATTCTAACTATGAATCCGGGGTTGTCGGGTACTGTCGTTTTGGAACGGCAGTGTGGCTCAGAGCATCTTTATGTCCTTAAGTTCATAAGGAAAGGTGCTAATGAAGTAAGTATTTAAAGCGGAAATGGTTCACTGCTGAAAAAATTTTGATTTTTTTTATGATGAGCAGTAGTGTCTTGGGACCGTGTAAAACACTTTTTGTACTTTTTAAGATGCGTTGATGACTAATGTTTTTTTTTTTTGAATTCAAGAATTCAAATACGGATAATCAACTTTTTCTAATGCTAGCCATTGTGTGACATTTGGCTGATTAGTAACGGGACGTTTCTCGACGACTTATCTTCTGGCTTTTCAAAAAAGGTGTCTTTACAGAATTATGGTAGGACGAACGGTGTCAACATCATTCATAGTATAGCAGTAATAACGATAGTGGGTTAGATGAGACTTTTAGAGTTTCAAGTACGCATCTATTTAATGATTCATCAATAGGTTAATGTTTACCAAAGCCACCCACAGGACTTTAATGGTAGTTAACACTTTGGTATCATGGATAAGAACTATGTATTAAAAGCGACTGCTTATCAGGAAAGTACTTTACTGTTGTCATAATGCTTGGCGTGACGTTCCTTCTACGTACCCACTTCGGTTTTACTGTATTTGTAGTTTTATATTGATTTAGTATTTTCAACGCGGTTTTCCTCTAGTCAGTCTTCTTTTGTCTTACTATTTGGAGTTACGAAATTGCCATTTCAAAGCAAGAGCAGTTCATCATGAAACGTTAACGGCTGGATGAACAGCTCTTAGAGGATTTTAATACACTTTTAATCGGCAGTAGTGGACTGTCGATGTTGTCCTTCGACCTTGTGGGAAGATAACTCAACAGCCTTACAGCGCACTAGCTTAAGCGCTGTTTCAACTAAAGCAAGTGGCAATTCAGGAAGGCACAGTGGTTGGGGCTATCTGCGAGTAGTATTTGTACGGTGGAATTTTTAGCAAAGCCTCATTTGACGTGACAAAAGTCGGTTTTTTATATTTAAATTTGTTAATTAATTTCGCTTTTTAAGCCGTGTATTTAATGGATTGTAGGTGATGGTAGTTCTTGACAGTTCGATGAAGTTTTGCGGTAGACACTCAACAACCAATCAGCTTTAGTTCAGCTAAAGATCGGAGAAAATTTAGCAGTTGTCAGTGGTGATTCAAAATGCGGTCAAATTCTTATACTTTTGAACGGTCTTACGCGAAATTACAGCTGCTTGTGTTACGTTAATAAAAGTGGTTGAATTTTTTGCGATACAGAAATCTACAGCAATAGTCGGGCATATAAAAAACAGTTAGTTTAAGCCTTGATGAAATAATCGTACTAGGGAGGATTGTCTTTGATAAACAGCATCGCAGTGAGGCTTGGTTTCACAGGTATTTCTTAATAAATTTGGCGATGATGTTTGATTTTCATTTTGAACGATAAGCATATGGAGAACTAAAGTACATAAAAGGTAATGTGAATTTTATAGCAGTAGTCTAGACCAGTTTTAAAGAGTTGAAGTAGAAAACATGCTTCACGCGTCGAATTTTGTCTCAGTACCGTTTTGACTTCCGAGTCATACCTGGTGTAGGTCACCGGAGAAAGAGGTGCTAACACTGTTACTTTGCCTGCCTCGGTGTAATCAGTTGTAGTTTGTTTTTTACGAAGACACTTAGACATCGATAGCATTATGTAGTTGCAAAGATTAGAATTGTTTGCGGAGGTGATTTACCGGCGTTTTCATGGCAGAGATGAAGTAAGCGGTCGAAAAGTGCATCAGTAAACGGAGAAAGCTATTTAAATTTTTTTTAACGACAATCATTTGCTATTAATTATTGACCGATGTTTGCTGGCTATTAAACTTGACTCAAAATAGAAAGCAGTATGTGTACAGCTAAATATTCTTCAACTGGTTTGTTATTGTAGTTGACTTATTGAGTATCCTAAGTTTTTAGCTGTAAACATCGTTCAGAGCTCAATTATTTCTTGCATACTTTTGAAGCGTAGTTAGCATACTGGAAATTGGTGTTCACGTCAAGATAATACAGCATTCGATTTTTGAGAGCAAAATAGTTTGGAGTTCTTCGAGGACTGGTGCGAACTCAGTTGGTTACTGGTTAGAGAATCTTACTTAGTATGTGGCCGTTAGCCAGATCACTTACGTTTAAAGTGTTCAAGGAAGCACATTTAATTTTTAGCGCATGAAGCAAGTGTGTTTCATTGTGCTAAGAAAAACTTCACATTGTTGCTTTAAAGACCTTACTTTATAAACTTCCAGGTACGATACATTCCTCAGCCATAACACAAGAAATTTACCTACTCTGAACTTTTATTTACTAACGGAACCCATCCGTTATTATCATGCACTGTCATCACAGCGTAAGTCTCTTTCTTGAAACTACAATTAGAATAAAACAGCAATCAACCAATTTTTTTTTTTTTTTTTTTTTTTTTTTTTTTTTT